CGTTTGACCCCAGTACTCTTTCCTGCCACAGCAGGGGGTTGAACTAGATGATCTACTTAAGTCCCTTCTGACCCTAGAAACTATGAAACTATACAAACAGACATACAGACGAAACCACTCCAGTAAGATGTTATACTTACCAGCAGATGTTACAATATTAGCACTGGATGGCTGGGTCCAGACTTATTGATATTGATAGGAGCTGGGGAAGAACAGACATGTATGTCTGTACTCCATGAGGTTGCAAAGAGTTGACTTCCCATCTCGGCTTGTCTGCATCTCAGTTTTATAGGGTTTTCAAGTCTTTGTTCAGCATTGGGGTTTTTCCATGCTCAGTCTTTACTCAAGTTGAGATGACAAGAAGAAACAACCTCTAATTAAAGTTGGTATCTCTGTTGGTATCTTAATCTTGATCTTTGCCTTGAAGCATTACCTTCTTGAAGCACTGTGTAGTTCAAATGGCAGGATATGCAAAATTCCTTCTTTGCACATGATTACAGATGAGTTGTTCAGCTATCCATTAATTAGCTTAATTAGTTTACTGTCTGGTAACTTGTACATCAGTGCCTTGTTGCTTACACAGTCAGTTAAATCTTCTGTTTTCATGCAAATAGTTACCGTTCTTTCACCATTTACCTTCTCACACAGACACTCACGTACACAGGGCATAAGAAGTTTATCTACTCATGTCAAGCAAGCACAACATGGAGTTTCAGTTGTTTATAAAATCACAGAGGTTTATCAATTCAATACTATTATCATTTAAGCATAATAACTAATATGCAAAAATTCATACTACATGTGTTATGGGACAAAAAAGTAAGTGCATAAGTGCCCTAAAGTATCTTTCCTGAGTTGTAACAGCTAGTTTAAACCACAGCATTGCATATGTGACGTTGAGGTTATTTTTCCTCTTGTTCACTACCTTGCACTTGTTGACAGTGAACCTCATCTGTCTGTCTTTTTTTTGCCTACTCACTTAGTTTTGTGAGATTTTTCTAATGCTCTTCTCTGTCCGCTTGGGATTCAACTACCTGGAATAGTTTAGTACCATTTGCAAACTCAGAAATTTCCCTGTGCACTCCCATTTCTAGGTAATTGAAGATGCTGAACACAATACAGGACAAATGGTCCCATGCTGGTGTAATTTACTAGAATCCAATGTATAATTATCCTAAGAAAATCAGTGGTAAAACTACACTGGTGTGAATTACAGCTTAATCTTGAGAAGCTGTTAGCTCAAGATAAGTGTTACTGTCATGCCAGGATGTGGGTGGCCAGGCCTGGGGCTACCTGAGGATCAAGGGACTAGGGCTTGGATAGATAAGTGGACTGGGAAATCAACCTGGGTTAGAAAGCCAGGCAGGCAGTCAATCCAGGAGCGAAATCCAGGGACAGACTGAATCAAGAACTCAAGAGATCAGAAACAAAGATAAGCTAAGGAGCAAGCCAAAGGGAGCACTAAAGCGATCTTGGGTCAATTACCCAGACACTTCCTGTTCCAAATCAGAGATTTATATGTGGGAAGTGGAGGGTCAACTGACTCCAGACAGCCACTTTGGGGACAAGGAGTGGGCAGAGGATTAGGCCCTACTAGAGACTTCACACTGGCTTTGAGCAGCCTGGCTGGATATTCACAGGGTGCAGGCTTAAATTACTGCCTGTCTTTGTAGGCCAAGACCCAAGGTTCAAGGCTGTAGCCTGACTCAGTTGCAAGGTATTGTAATATGACAGTGATTTGCAGTTGGGATCTACAGCACCTTGGGGTGCCACCAGATCCCTTTATGAGTGCCATGCTGCTGAGTCCCTGGGTAAGGAGGCAAATAATCTCGCTTCATCTGGCACCTTGCCCCACTTGAGAGGCACCTATAGGTATTCCTCTAAGAACTGCCACCACTGCTGCCATCCCTGCCCTCTTATGCTTTCTAGAAGTCGGTATTGGGCTGCCCCAGCATTCCCAGTAGCTCATTAGGCTGTGGATGGGCAGGGAGGTGGATGGACATGGGGCTAGAGTCACACTTTGCAGAGTGGCTCATTCCCTCTGCTCCTCCCACACTCCCAGGGCCTGTTGGAGGAGGGTATTTTGGTAGCAGTTACCTGCATGTGAGTGCTCACAGGAGCAGACTCCATGGAGGGACCGCCTATGACCACCCAAGTACAAGTTGGGGGATAGGGAGGGGGTGGATTAGTGAAAAGAGCAGGGTTAGGTCCTGTTTATGCTACCCTTTCTTGCCCAAGGCAAAGGGTCAGACTTGATAACCTACTGAGGTCCCTTCTACCCCTAACATTTATGAACCTATGAATCTTGTCAAGCTAGAGCAGTGATTCTCAACTTTTTTAGCCTCAGGAGCCCGTCCATATCTTGTCTGAATTTAAATTCTAGCTCAGTGATTCTTAACTGGGGTGTTGCAAAATTCAGAAAAGTTATAGAGGGGTGCCTTGAAGCTAAAAAGATTGAGAATCACTATACTAGTGCCTACTGAGATAACTACCCCAGATACCTGCCTGTTTGCTGTTGCTTCCACAGTAATTTACAGCAATGTACATAACCAATGTACGTTGGTTAGGGAATCATAATATACTTCAGGTCATAACATATCCCTCCAATTGCACTAATTTTGAATTAGATTAAAATTATCATAAAGATTCACAATTGTGTCAAAAGCAGTCAAGGATGATTTCGAAAACGACTGCTTTATTGTGCTTTTTTTCTTACTATAGTGCCAAAAATATATAACTCCTTAACTTTTATAATCAGCGCTAAAATAAATTAAAACCAATAATCATAGATGGTCATGTCAAATGCTTAATTTTGGTGGATTATCTGAGTATTACCATGTGTCCATTTGCACAAACACACAAGTTATTCTGCTATAGTAGTCATTTTTCTCTTGAGATTTCTTCTTTTAATTGAAAGTAATAAATCAATATTAGTATATCAGTGTAGTCATAAACAAACACTCTTGTATGTGTTTTCTGTACAGATTGAATATAACTTCAGGTATCTTCAGTGTCCTCTAACTCTAAAGAAACCAAAGGGAGATGAAGAAATTGAATATGAACCACTTGCCATTCTAAATGTAGGTTCTTCCATTTAATAATTAAAGTATTGTATATTAATATTGTTGGAAGTTGTTTCGTAGTAAATACTTTATTTCCAGTTCAGCAAGTTTGAAGCATGTTGGGTTGAAACTTGGTCATTAATTTATTAGCCAAAGTTCTAATAATTTACCTAATACAATATAGACTTGGCTGTTTGGATAGAAATTTTGAGCTTATTTATACATCTGAGTTGTTTATATACCTTATTTATGAGTTATGGAAAATTCAAGAGGGAGAAACAAATTAAATGTATGGATAGCATATCTAAGCAAACCAGTCCTTTATAATTTGTGAACACATCCTGGATTGCAAAGAGCATTTCTAAATATTTTCAGAGATGGTATAGCAAGGACACAAGTTATTATTATGAATAAAAGAAGGTGTGAGCACATATGTAATAATAAAAACATTTAACACAAATGTCAGCATTCTTATACAACATTAGCCTTAAACAATATTCTGTTCTTCTCAGTTCAGTAATGATAAAATTAGGTTATTAAGCTTATTACCTACTTATGACCTGGCTTTTTTTAAATAAAGTAAGCTAATAATTGGCAATTGGACAGATCATACAGTTGAATAATTAGATAGCGACTGGAATAAATGAATCCTCATCTGTTCTCCATACAATGTATTACATTCATCAGTGTTTGCTCTTGCAACATAATATAATTATCATACTTATTTTATGCCAATATATGCTGTCTTTTGAAGTTAAAATTGTGTTTTTTGAGTAATTTTAAGATTTTTACATTTAAATTTGACAGAGACAAGAGAAGGTTGAATGTCTAATGACAACATTTATACAGAGTAGTAATTTTGATTTTCCGGAATGAATAAAACAAACCAAACAAACAAAACCCATAAGAGTTTTGAGCTTTCTCCAATGTATTTTATTTTGCAGTAGGCTAGAATTTTTATCAAGTACTGAAGTAAATAGTCTAAGCCAGGGCTGTCATCCTGTGAGGGGTTAGCCTATGGGCTCTTGCCTAGCCACCACTCCTCCCAGTGCTCCTACTGCTATGGTGGCTGGGGGCTCATGGCTCCCCCACTCTCTTCCAGCTTCTGCTTCCTGCTCTGCTCCTGGGGGTTGGATACTGCAGTGGGAGGTGGGGCAGAGAGGAGTATATGCAGCCTGCATTATGCACACAAAGTTGTTGGGGGGAGGTGCTACCCAGAAGTTTCACAGCCCTGGTCTATACTATTGGTTTGTAAGTGGCTCACTCAGCTGAAGGAGATGTACCATACATTTGACACGCTTGTTTCATATGTTATAGGCCATGGTACGCCATAACTGTATGGAGCTTCTTAGTCATCCTGTATGTAAAGAATATTTGCTCATGAAGTGGTATGTATTGTTAATTGGACCTTAGTGTTTGCTTGTATAATTTAGGTGGAGTTGTTATTTTGAAGTTCTTATAGAATCAGGTTTTCAATAAAATAGAATACAGAAAGAAAGGCAATACTAAAAAGAACCATTTTGTATACAACTTATGGATAAGATTTGTGGCAGAGACAGGGCTCCTTAAATTTGGAATTTTAGTCAATGTCACTTCCATCCAGTCATACTGATAAGAGGATTTAAAATATATCAAACATCAGGATATAAAGAGTTGTTTTAATGTTAGCACTTGCAAAATGAAACCTACCACAATCTTCATTAGCACTTAAACTAAAACCTATTACAAAAAATGTAGGTTGACTTCAGAAACTTCAAAGGAAATGAAAATTGGTTCATTAAAGAGGGCTAATAAGCCTTTATGCACTGTGAACTCCATGGCCTTGTCTGTAAGGCTAGGGACAGAAGTTGCACGTAAACTGGTTTCAGTGATCTGAAACTTGTTTAACCCTGTAATGGAATAGAAGTTCAGTGCACATAAAACAGTTTGAAAATGGCTGAAACTGGTTGAAGACAAACCTAGTTTAATGTGGTATCAAATCTAACTGATTTAGGTCAAACTGGTTTATGAAATTTCTGTCGCAGACCCTGGCTCAAGTTAAATCAATGTCTCCTAGCATCCCAGCATTTTGCATACCTGGGCAGGACTGTGCTGTCTGCTCTAGAGAGCAGGGCTGGCCCTGCCTCTGTGCTCCCTACCTGGAGCTGAGAGGGCTGGCTCACTGGCCCCACTAGCTGGCTCACTGCCCCCTAACCCAGGCAATCCCTACTCTCCTACTAAAATTGTATTTCCATATTTTATAACATTTTTTTTCATTTTCCAGGATGGCATATGGGTTTCGTGCACATCTTATGAACTTGGGCATATATTCTCTTGGTCTCATTCCACTCACTCTTCTGGTCACCAACATAAAGCCAAGAAAGAATTTAAATGGAACCGAGACCTATAATTCAGGACCATTAGTATTTGAGGTACTGTTTTTAATTGTTTTCAACATATCTATTTTTTTAAAAGTGGGTTGTGATGGTTGAAATATAATTGATAGAATTATTGATCATTTTGCAATTTTAATTAATTGAATATAAAACTTATTACACCCAGTAATATTACTTCCTATTCCTATGTTTCTGCAACTGAAGTATTTATGGGACTACTATTTTTTTTATGGGGCTACTATATTTATCAGTTGCTTGGTTTCTGAAAGATTCTTTTTGGGACAAAAAATGTTAATTTCTATCTGTGGCCTAAGGTAAATTTGTCATTAGTTTGAACAAAAAAAATTTAGCTCTACTTAACAATAAAGAGACAAAGTAATATGCTTTTTTCCATAATAAGAAAAAACATTGTAAACCTTTTAATATATATATTTTTAATTGATAGTCCAAATAGCTGGACGTTGAAGTTTTGAAATTTGACATGGAAATACCCATCACTAAGAAGTGTGTTTGTTGATTTAGGCTAAGTACAAACAGTCAAAAAGCCTGAGGCTGAATCAATTCAGTCTTCATAGGTTGGTCTAAGCTACATAGGTAGAACTGATAAGCAAATGAACAGACATTCAGTTTTGATTCTAGAAACACAGCCACATGCCTGCAATAGCTCAGACCAGAAGCTGGAGGACACTTGATCAGTGTTTCTCAACCTGTGGGTTATGACCCAAAAGTGGGTGACAAGAATATGTGAAAGGGTTATGAACAAACTTTTAAAAATGATTCTCCTTTAAAGGAGAAAAATGTTGGACGCATTCCAGCCTGCAAGGGACTTCTTGCACCCCTTCCGCTCCCCCCCCCCACCGCCCCACACATTGTGGGGCTGAGGCCTGGGGTTAGCAGGTTGGGAGTGAGGGGCACTGGGTTGGGACTGGCCATTAATGTTTACAAATGCATCCTAATTCAAAAAAGGTTGAGAACCACTGCACTAGAGCACACCTCCTTGCTCAGCTAGAGCACACAGCTTGGGCCAACACTAGCCTACCCACCCTGTGAGACAGGGTTTGTGGGGGAAGTGCAGAGCATCCTGGGATGCTGGGAGACTGAGTTAATTTGAATCTGGAGGGGATCTGGGACAGAAGCTCGATTAAACCAATTTCAGACTAAAGTTTGTCTTAAACCAGGTTTAAGGTTTATCTTAAACCAGTTTTGGCCATCTTGGGTGCATACAGAAGTGCAGCTCCTGGGTCTAGCTCATGGCAATTCATAGACTAACCCTCTTGACCCAATAGGCATTAGTTGTTGGATTGGAAAGGTGGAAGATCATCTCCAATTTGCATCTTCCCCTGTGCCTCTTCTTCCCCTGTGTCTCTTTCCCTGGCTCCACCCACACTTGTAGCACCATTGCTATTTCTGGATGCAAGGTGGGAGAAGGCAGGGGCTGGAGGTCCCTTTTGGAGTTTTTGGTGTCCTGCTGGAGTGCGGGGCTGGATAGATTGGAGCCCCCCAAGGTGAAGGGCTCCAATCCACCTGCCCCCCCCCACCCTACTCCACTGGGACTGAGAACCCCAGAAGGGACCTCCCTCCCTGTACTTTCCCTCCCATCCAGAAACAGCAGCTTGGCTGGGCTGCTCTTGCAGCTGGAGCAGAC